CCAGGTGTATCCGCAGATTCTATATGTCAAAAGAAGCATGTAGAAAGGCATGGGGCTTTGTGGTCATGGGCACCATCTTGAGTTTCCTTTACCATCCCCTCACAGACAACCCCTACAGACACTCCCTACAGACATCAACTCCTTCAGTGGTCCACTGCACCACCAAAAAAGTCAAGTTGGCTGTTGATGTTAAACATATGCAGAGGGTGGATAGACAGGAGGAGTTAAGTCCCACATGTAGGCCCAGCCTAATCATTTTGCTTGTGGTTTCAGGGAAAGTGTTGCCTAAGCGTTCAACCCTCAGGGAACAGCCTTTGGAACAGCCACGCAACGTTTGAAAAAGATGCAGCTGCTTTAAGCACTCGGAGGAGAGATGCTTTGCTTGTGCTTATGTGCTCCCTCCCAATTGGAGCAAGCTACCAGCCCCGTCAAATAAATCAACTCAGCTTCGGGATGCTGCACGAATGCTTTGCACAGAGTTATACAGAGTGGTTTGGCTGGGGATTGTTTTTCTTTCTCAAAAGGGGCTGTAGAGTCGCCCCAGCCATTTGCTTTGTAAGCTCAAATAAAGATGCAGTCAGTTATGAAAACAGAAACTTGTACAGTAGTTGAAAAACAAAACAGAAACTGCACATAACCGCTTTGGCTGAACCCAACTTAAAGCAGACGTCTGCATGCAGGAGAAAGGATTCAAATGACATTAAAAGCTGTCATTTCTAAAAGGAAACAGTACTGTATATGATGTAGAATAGGGGTGATCCAATGAGTTTTTTGCTGCATTTTATACTTGCTTTTAATAAAAGTGCACCAATGAGGTTATATAGTAAACACTTAATCCACATTTGGAATTCTCAGGCAAATGTCATTTTATGGTTACTTACGTGGATGAGATTCATATTCTTTTGTGTCTTCATCTTTTTCTTCCTTGGACTCATCTAATTCCTTACTATATTCCATTGTGGTTTGGTTTATTTGATCTTCACTATGCGCATTCTGTTCATCCACAACTACAACACCAGATACATATACATAAATGCTATTATTAATTATAAGAATCAGCTAGAGGCAGAAGAAGAAGGAATTATTATCTATCTTCTGCATTTGCATGTGGCTCTACGTACTTGGTTTCTGCTGGGAAAACTGATGAGATTTTTTATGTACTTTCGCTGATATGACTAGATTCCCCCAGTGATATCAAAGCACTCCATAATTCTAATACTTTTCCCCAGCGCCTCGCATTTTGAAGGAAGTGCCATTAAGTAATTAACATGCATGTAAAGCATCGCATACATTCCTCCCTCTGTTTATCCCCTGGTAAAAAAAAATCAGGTCAGCTCCCTCCTTTCTTCTTCTCAGAAATTATCTCTGGCCTGGTTTCAATTGCTTGATGTCTACCTCCTGAGCAAACTGATTTTGACTTTGTAGAACTGCATGTGCTAATACTTTTTTTTTTTTTAAGTTATATCTTTGCAAAAAGCAGACAAATACAGGAAGGAAACAAATTATTTTCAACAAAAAGGGATAAGGGGAAAAAGCTCTTTGTTAATTAACATGACCCCAGAAAAACAGATCCTGAAATTTTCAAATGTATGTTTCTATCTGACTCTTAACAGCCAGAGCCATTAACCCGATTTGGGGAAAACAGGACAGATCCATTCCTCTTCCATCCAAAGGGCTGGATGAAGGATGAGAGGCAGGGTGTGAAGAAGGAAAGCTTTATCACCTGAGTATACGTCCCTCCCCCTACCATCTTCTGCATTCTCCATGCAGAGAGAAGCAAGGTGCAGTGAATGCCTATCTTCAAAGCTGCACTTGCCATTCCCCAACAGGAATGATTCTGCTTGATTGCCACTCTTACAGGATCTGCAGCAGGAATGTCTTCAGAGATACCTCCTGCTGCTTTAGGCTAAGGGAGGAAAGCCATCGGGCCAAAAGATCCTCCTGCTGCCATGCTAAGGAAGGAGAACTGTGCCAGTCACTTTCTAGAAAGAAAGCAGGAAGCCCAGCTATGGCCAGTTTCTGCTACACTTGGCATCTCCTCTTCAAAAGAAGAAGCAAGACACAGCTCAAACAGAGCCAGATGCCATTGGCTGTTGCAATTGGAGATTAGGGGAGGGGCATGGAAGTGCCAAAAAAATCAACAAATTGGCTAGACTATGCAACTGAAGCCCTGGCCATGCTTGATCTTCCTGGGCTTTTATCACACAGTTGCAACTACCATCTTGACTTTTTTTTACCCTCCCCACCTTAGGCCCACAGTTTGAAGATTCATAGTTTCTTGCATTTCCATAAAGATACTTTGAACTGTATAAGTTATATTTGGGGAGTGATTAAAAATAGGAAAGAAAATGGAACAATCTAAGTATGTTACAATTTCAGATGACCTGCTTTATATGAAGTGGAAATTGAATCCTTTGACTGTGTTCAGACATCGCATGAAACCATGGTTTGGCAAAGCAAGTATATGTTACCGGCAAACTTTGAAAGAGCATGCTTTCCCCTCTTTGGAGTAGTGGGTCAGCTTCTACATCCAGTTTACATGAATGATGAACTCTGGTTTGGTGTGTCCCTGAAACATCCTAGTTTCCGAACACATGCTTTGAAGTGGACCAAACCATTGCTAAAACCAGTTCATACATTTCAGAAGATACAGCAAGCTGCAGTTACTCCATCATGGAAGCAAACCCTTTCAAGCCCTTCCTTGACGATATGCTGGGGGGTGTATGCAACCCAAGGTGGAGAGATGAACCTTTTTCTTGTACCAGGCAACAGGGGTTTAGCCTTATGACAAGTTTCATTTTTTAAAGCCAAACTAGCCCTCCCTCAAGAAAACATTATCACAAGCAGAGCTAGCAAGCTAAATTTTCTTCACCTAGCTCACCTTTTTCTGCTTGCTCAATTATCTGTCTCAGAGCTTTCTTTAAACTATTGGCTCGTAGCATTAACTGCTCCCGTGACTTGAACATCTGTTGTGTGGGAGAAGCTGCGTTGCTCTCGGTCAACTGTTCTTTGGCATCAGACAAAGATTCTTCACTCGATGACTCGTCAGCTTCTTCCTCTACAATGGGGGAAGCCATGTGGGGAAGGCTAGGACTAACCTGGGTTTCAGCGTGGAGAGCCTGGAGCAATTGGCTTAACTTCTCATTCAGTTCTGAACACTAACGAAGGAATATATAAAGGAATACAAAGACATTTGTAAGTACTTGAACAATTTTTGAAAAAGTCTCCCGTAGCTGAAACAAAGCAGACTCCCCTCCTCTACTCTAGAGCCATTTCAATGGAGTGATTTAGTCAAAATGCAGAGCTAAATTTTTGCAAGGTATCCAGCCAGTTTCATCTCTCCTCTCTTAATAAACATCACAAGATTAAATTATTCTCGCATGTCTTATAGTGGGAGCTATCAACCTCATTTCACAACTATTATTAGCCATAGTTCTAAATGTTTGCAGGAATGGACTTCCTGTCACCACCCCGACATATTTATTATTATCTGCTGATTAATAACTGGAAAACTGGTGTGGTATTAATCAGCACATGATGCCTACCACCACCATCACCACCCATGATCTGGAAGCAGGCTACCATGTTCTGAACCAAATGAAGCTTGTGTTCATTTATTTATTTTGGCTCAGGGTGCTTCATTTCCAAGAATCTCAGACAGCTAGCATATCAGAAAACAGAACATGCTACAAAACTATTAGAATCCCTTTTGAAAATTCATAAGCGCATAACAGCTGTGTTGGGCACCAAGTGGAGTTTCTAGACCCTGTTCAGGACTGGAATGCACTATAGTACTTGGACTGCAACTAAAGCCAACTATGGTGAGCCACACAGTTGTGCAAATACACTTCTTGTCACTACTGCTAACAGGCCATCCAAGGCAACTCTCAGGGACAAGACCAGACTACAAGCTTCTTTCAAAGGGGGTATCATGAAATTGTGGAGTTTGAAGGGATCACAAGGATCTTCAAGTCCAACCCTCTGCAATATGCAGGAAAACAATTACATTATCCCTAAAATCGTCCAGAGATGAGCCCACAACTTCCATAGGTAGAGTGCTCCCCTATTACTATCAGGAGTTTTGCCATACATTTAAATGAAATCTAGGTAGCTACAAGGTATACCCATTATTTCTGGATGTGGAAATAAATGGAAAATAGTTCCTGACCCTCTTCCCTACAGCACCCTTTGATGCATCTGAACATTGATGTCTCCTTTTCTTAGACACAGCATCCCTCACAAGGTATGTCCTCAAGTTCCTGGTTCATCTTTACTGTCCTCCTTTGAAACCCTGCTTCTCCATCAATATTCTTCTGGAAATTGCATCCCATTCTTGCTGACTTAAAGGGCTCCGTTTTTAGGTTTAATGCTAGCTTATTCACCCTCATCTTCAGACACAGCCAAGGGACAAGGAAATCAACTACTTTCTAGGAGTTCAGAGGGTGAAGAGCAGTACAGCTGAGTACCACCATCATCCTCAAAGCCGCTCTCAGAAAGCTCTGGATTATGAAATATTAAACACCAAAAAGGGCAACAAGGAACTCTTGGGGACACCACAGACCAAAAGCCAAGGTGCCCAACAACAGCTGGATTGAGACCACTGCAAAATGTGCTCTTAATGCCCAGACCAGGAGGCCCACGTGGGAAGGGATCAAGGTCACTAGTATCAAAAGCTCCCACGGGACTCATCCGACTCATTCAAAACCACTTTGAAAATGAAACTGAATGAAAATATAACACCAATGTAACCCATCTTTAGACCTGATGGCTTCCAATATTTACTGTAAACATGTTGTGTATGTGTGCAGAGGAAATACTAATGCTGGAAAAATGTATAGATACAAAAATCCAAACAATCAAATAACTTCTTAAAATAAGACCATCTTCATTCTTACTTTAACGGCCATGGCATCAGCTTCTGCGTTTTCCACTGGTCTTTCACAAGTCTTCCCTATTTTGGCCACAAAGCCTTTTACGGTTTCACACAAGATCCTTTTGAGAAGGAGAAAGAAATGCCAAAACGAGAATGGAATGGATGATGTTAAAACGTTAATTTTGCATTAGACAGTAATTTAGTTCAGTCACTTATAATTTAAAAAAGCCATTAAGATTGTGCATTTTATATCCTACAAATGAATAGCCCATGAGATATCACACAATCTCACCTTTCCTCACCATCAAAGCCCAGAGCTGAGTTGGGGGTAGGACAATTGTTCCCCGTCTTTGCTTTTGCAGCTATTATTCCTAGCTAAGGCAACCAAAATTACGTTGGTGCCCTGAGTGGAAGCTTTTATTTTCCAAATGAGCAGAGCAAATAATGCACTAGCATCTTCACAAATCTTCTAACTCTCCGGAGCGGGATTGAGTATGCAGGAGTGATGTGAGAATGAAAAATAGTAAGGAAGAGGGTTTGCTGTTGCACAGCGAGAGTATAAGGAGCTTCTAATTCCCTGAGACAAGTCTAAATTGTGGTCAGGAAGGAAGGCTCTGAATCTTTTTTGAAGGGGTGCCTCTGATCTCATGCAAGCACAGCACCTCTTTGTTATTCCCTAAAGCAGCCCAACTTCCTTAGCCTGAAAAAAAAAAAGAATTGACTCATTGATGTCAAGTGGCAGCTTTTGCACAGTACTTTAATGGGTAGCAGAGAAATCCTAGGTTCACCTGAGGTCTGAACTACTGATTTCTAAACAGGAGCATCTTCAAGGGAAGTAAAGAAGTCAAGATGGTGGTTGCAACTGCATGATCAATGCTCCACCCCTTCGTTATGCTGTCAGAGTTGTGACTGCCATCTTGACTCTTTTGACCTGGCCGCCAAATGCACCTGTTCCAAATGTTTTGGAAGTATGCCCAGTGCTAGAGGAGAGCTCTTCAGCATATTGACCTTCCCTTATCCTATCCTATCCTATCCTATCCTATCCTATCCTATCCTATCCTATCCTATCCTATCCTATCCTATATCTTATCCCATCGTGTAGCCAGTTGGTTCACTTTTGCCAGATGTGGTCCTGAAACAGGACGCAAGTAGCCCAACATTTGTCCTGCTTCCAACTCAACTCTGGGCTTTGATGGTGAGGAAAGGAGAGGTTCCTTGCGTGAGATCTCATGGGCTTTTCACTTGTAGGGTATAAAATTCTCACCTGATCATAAGTAATCTTTTACTGTATTGATGCTTTAGAAGAAAAGAGGGCCAACAGAAGATTGCATACATCAAGGCAGATGGAAAGAGTTTTTCAAAATAGAAGGTAATTTTTTAAAACTTCAACATGTAGAGAATTGGATGGAAAATTTTAACAGTCAACAAAACATTACTTGTATCTTATGATTTTCCCTAAATCTAGTTCTTCATGTGATGAAGGAAAAAAAAGTCCTATAATTCTTTTTCTAGTCATTAAGTATTGAAAGTTTGGGGAATTAATAATGCACGACTTCTAAGTTTCATGTGTACTTCTTTATAACTGATTTAACGGCATAGCTATGCAATGCTAATTTTCTGAAGAGTAGCATTTTTAACTGTCTTCCAAAAGTTAATGCGCCAACTCTAATTTAAGCATATGGATAATCATTCCCATTTCTAATTTAATTTGACAACTGTATCAGTCTGGATATATCGCCACTTGTGGTAAAGCAATTATAAAAGTCCTCTGCCATGATAAAAAAACCAAAAACCCTCTGTCGAAACCATCTGCTGTCAATTCAGCATCAATCCTCAAGCAGAACATGTTTGTGAGTGCACCCATCACAATCGTATTGGAAAAAATCCAGAATAAATCTGGGGGGGGGGGG